AACAAAAAGATTAAGAGAATAAATGAATAATTGAGAGAATAGAGATTAGAGAATATGAGAGAATTTGAGTTGTGAGAAAAATATTAGAGTTTAGGGCCAATTTATAGAAAAAAATGGGGAAAGAAAATGACGAAAAAGACCCCTCCAACGGCTATAAAACGGCTATATTTTAAGGGTAAAAGTGTAATTTAAAAAACTAAATTAATTTTGCTTTTTTTTTTTTAATTTTTTTTTTGCCCAACCCAGCGGGTTGGCCGCCGGGTTGCGGTCCTCCTGCAGAGAGGACAAAATAACAACTCGCGGGCCGGCGGGTTGCCATTTTGCAACCCGGCCCGCCCGGGGGTTGCTGGCGGGTTGGGCTCAACCCGGCCCGCCATTAAGGCGGGCCGGGCTCAACCCTCTTTTTTTCGGGCCGGGTTAGGGTTGACCCGCCTAACCCGGCCCCTTTTTTCCACCTCTATATTTGTTTGTATTTTTAGGTTCACACGGATTACACACGTTTAGGCCTAATCATTTATAAGAAATAATAATTCCCACATTCAACAAGCCCTTATTGGATGAAAAATTAGATTCATCTCAAATTTTATCATAGTATCAGAGCTTTGATCAGCATATAAAAAATTAGAGTCATTAACTATTTCCATTAACAAGCATGACCCAAGATATATGTTTGATCACGAGAGAGAGTATTAGAGTCTCACACCTAGAGTCTTACACCGACTAAACACGTTCAAGCCTATTAGTTTATAAAAATGAGTAATCATCTCATTCAACAAGACCTTATTGGATGAGGAGTTAGACCCACCTCAAACTCTATCCATTATATATTAGACTTTTTTCATATATTGGTGAAGGAGTTGCTAATGTTCAAATGCTGCATTATTCACTAAACATCAGATATGTATTATTCCATGGCTCTATGTTTGATAGAGTGAATTAAGTGTCATGAAAATCACGTGATATCAGCGGGTAATTTGTTGGCTAACAGTGGTTTAAAGGGACTGGATTAAATTAAGAAAAAATGTTAAGTTTCCAATTTAATCTCACAATAACCTTTTCTTATAATCCTAATGTATCAGTAGATTAACACTATCACGCTAGTTCCCACTCAGTGGCGGATCCAGAAATTTCACTCAATGGGGGCAAAAAATAAACAAAAAAAATTTGTGGGGGCAAAAGGTCAAAGTCTTATAGGGGGTAAAATGCAAGTAAATATAAATATTTATACAATCTGAAGTTTTTTAAAGTTTGAGTGGGGGCCGTGGTCTCCACTCGTCATTAAGTAAATCTGTCACTGTTCCCACTACACCAAAAGACACTGCTAGAAACGAATGGTCGTTCCTTATGAAAAAACAATCATTTCTTTCATAAAGAATGGATGTTCTCTTATTATGAATGGTTGTTCCTTATTTATGAATAGTCATTCCATTGATTGTTTCTTCATAAAGAACGATCATTCTTTCGTGAGATGATGTTATTAGAAAATATATTTACTCATAAATACCTTGTTTCTTTAATAGATGGCGTGGTGTTATCTTGCGGAGAAGGTGGTAATAAAGTTATCTATTCCTTATCCATAAAGGGTTTTAAATTCAATATTGATTATAATGCCTGAAAAGAATTATGAAAATTATTCAAATGTGATTCATATTCACATATATGAATTGTCAATTTTATGTTTTAGTAGATCTCATTTATTTTTTGTCATTTTGTCAAATATATGTATATATAGAGAGAACGTACGACATTTTCCCACCCAAGGTTTGACGAAATAACACTTTACCACCCATCAAGTTTTAGAATGACACTTTCTCACCCTTTATTAGGTTCTGTTATATTTTCCATTAATATTTTATTGAAAAAACAAAAATACCCTTAATTTTTTTACTTTATAAATTTTTTTTTGTTTTTTAATTAGTCAAAAGGTCAAATATTAAAAAAGAAAAAAAGAAAAAAAAATCAACCTCACCTAAAAAGTTAGGAGTAATACTATGTAAATGTTCAAAGTTAAATAACCTTAATATTTATTTATTAATTTATAATATCATCAATATCCCAGTACTACTATTCAATAATCTACTAAATTTATAATGTTTTTAATTTTTATTAATTAATATAAAACATCAATATTTCTAATTAATTAAATAAACAAAGAAAAAAATGTATCTTTATACTTGAACTAATAAATAATCAAGTAAAGACTGATAATTAAATTTTAATTTATAGTAAACCATTTAAGGGTATTTTCATCTTTTCAATCAAATATTACCAGAAAAACGTTAACAGAACCTGATGAAATGTGAGAAAATGTCATTTTGAACGGGTGGGAAAGTGTCATTCTCCCATATATAGACGGGTGAAGTAAGATCTACACACACTACTAAAAACTTTGCCTGCACCGACAATAAGAACTATGGTTAATATTTAAATCATATGTCGACGCCTACCTTACTCAAAGTGTAATAAGAGTAACTATTACACTTCATATATAGTAAAACTTCTGATTTTAATCCTTCAAGTGCCTCAAACCGAGTGTAATAAAAGTAAGCATTGTTGAATTAATAACACCACCACCACCACCTCTCACTTTTCATGAAATATATCTAGAAACTTTTCATTTGTTTAATTTCCAAGTTGACTTGATCCCAAGAAAAATGGCAATTGTACTTAATCTTGTAAAGTTGCTAGAACTTTCAAGAGAATCGATTTTCATATCGCCATTGGCAGTCTATAAATAGAAGTTGTTTGATCTAATGAGAGAAGGGTGAAGACCACTCTGGTCCAAGTGAAGTAAGGCTACTTTTTAGAAATAAGTCTTTTACCCAAGTCCAAGGCTAGAGTTTAGGAGTTAAAAGTACCTAAATCATGCGGCTGCGCTAAATAATATAAGTGAGTGTAGTGAAGAGTCCAAATACATTTGATGTCAACTAGTCAATAGTCAGGTTTTTCACGGTCAAGGTTTTTCTCTTATCTCATAAACACACCTTTTAAAAACATCTAAAATAGACTAGTGATATTAAATGCAGAATCTCATTAAGTTTTGTGACTCCAAGGATCCACATAATAAAGACTCTTTGCTAATCTTGCTGTTCACTGAGAGCTAACACATCTTTGAGGAAACAAAATTCAAAATATATATTTGATGTCAACTAGTCAATAGCCATTATATTTTCAAGCGTATTATACTGTATAATTGAACAAGTTTGTGAATAATATAATAGATAAGTCTTCAAATAGTCATCACTTTTTATACATCGTCAAACTTCATACTTTAATTAAGTTGAAACCCAATATATATGTTTAATGTAAAGATTTGTATTGTTGAATTGGGCTCATTCTTACAAGCCCATTCCAACAATCTCATTGGTACAAGCTTACCCTCGTGGGCTCATCATGGACCGAGCCCGCCTGAAATCAACAAAATGTTTATTTTTCAGAAAATGGCCTCACACAACTCACTCAGCCTCACCTTGTACCTCACAAACTGAGATTTGTCCCACTTTTTACCCTTTCGATTCTGGGTAAAATTAATTACTACATAAACACCACAATTCATAACCATTTTTTTTATTAATTATTTTGATTTCACCTTGAAAATTAAGGTATCAAATTAATATTAAATTATAATATGCCATCATATTATTGATTTTATTGTTTAACAAACTCTTTATATATGTTGATATATATATATATATAATAACGATTCTCTTCTCTTGTCTTCATAGTGCATAATCAAAGGGTTAATAAGATATATTTACAAATTGAAACTTCGCTAACTAATTTAAATTTTTATTCACAATTTTAGACTTATTTGTAATTGTCTTTTGGAGAGAAAATATCGGACATAACTTGGCTGGTTTGAACACCCTTGTCACTGAAAAAAAATAATATTTTTTAACTGTTTGGGACTAGAACAATATATATTTAAATTTTTTGTTTTAATCCTTGGACTAATCAAGGTTATAAATTAAATTTTAATACAAAACCCTTTGTTAACAATAATGCCAAGGATAATGCTTGTGTTTCTTTGGAATTTAATTAACTGATTTTCTCAACCCAATAACAAAGAAAGCAATTGATTCTAAAATTGGACCCTTAGGCTATATCTGCCACCACCACAAACCTTTCAGTTCTCTTAAATTTTAATTCTTACATGATAAATAAACTGCTGAAAAAACTTGCCTTCTATCAAAAGAAACCACAATCTTATTTGATTATTCACCAAAATAAAACAAATCAAAATAAGAAAGAAAAGTAAAAACTATATTCCTCTGTACACATAAATCTGAATGGGTCAACCCCAAAAAGTTTTAAACCTAACCTACTTTGTATGCTAAACTTGAGCGTCGTTTCGGAGTCGCTCAAATGATCCATCACCATTATTATCACTTCTATCGCGCAACCCAACAGACGATGATTTAGCAAATTTAGACAATTTTTTTGGTGGGGTAGACGTAACCTCATCACAAACATTTGGAATCCGAAGGGAACGGGCTCGGGACATAAAAGGCGGAGCCATCCTGAAAGCCCAATGGCCGGTCTTTGGCCGGTCGAACCGTTCGTACCCAATTCCTCCACTGCCACTCCTAAAGCCCTTTCTTGTGCTCCTCTCTCTAGGAAACACCACGCAACTCTTGCTTCTTGTTAGATTCGAGTTCATTAACTCATTTCGTACCTCCTCCGGTAATCTTAATGTAAACCTCTCACAATTTTCACCCGGTTGAACCAACGAGTGACCTGTCGATTGTGATCGTGGAAATAAACCGGCCAGTCTCCACCCTGTTGATTTCGATTTACGTGGCGGCCTGTTCTGATTGGTCAAATTCACCTCTTGAGATTCTACGTCTCTTCCATGCTCAACCTGTGAAATTTCTTCACGATCATCAGGCCGCCGTTCCGGTTCATCGGAACTATTGTCCGTGTTACATACTTGAATAACGCTCGATACAATCTCACCGGGTTGAGGGACCAAATTTGCGCGGCAAACCGGGCACGTGTTGTGCGAAGCTAGCCAAGCATCTATGCAATCAGTATGAAACACGTGGCTACACTTGGGTATTAAACGCAGAGTTTCGTCATCTTCAAACTCGTTTAGGCAAACGGCGCATTCTAAGGAGCCCTTACCGATTTTAAGCCCTTTAACAGCGGAGTAGAGGAAGGTCGGAAATGTGTTGATAACGGACGCGTCGAGTCCGCGCGTAATTCTCCGGGAGCGGTAGTTGGGTCCTCCGAGAAAGACGGCAAAGTGGTCGTCGTCGTTACGGGGCGAACGCTGTGCGTAACACTGACGGATGTAGACGGAGCAAAAACCTATCAAAAAGAATACACTGATCAAAACCACCATGACAATAGCCATTGTCGGGTTGAATGTGGGCCCCGGTGTTCTAAAGTATTCCTCTGGTCGAGCACCGGGTGGCACTGTTCCGGATTGCGCAGTGACGTACGGTAAGCCATGGAGAAAAAGGAGTAGAAAGGATAGGATGCCATGGTTGGAAATCAAAAGTCTGAAAATCCAAAGACGTTGATTGTTCTTTACGACTGCCATAGCTCAAGCGAACTGTAGTAGTTGTTTTTGTTCATATTTGGGCTTTAACGACCTTAGTTTTGCTCCAAAGAAAAGCAAGGTACATCCGAGAAAGCTAAAAAAGAAGAGGGACCATAAAAAAGAGGCAAAAGTGTTGGCGCTAAATAAGCGCCTGATAGCTAGAGTGGAGAGACTGTAATCAGGCGTGAAATATAAAGAAAGTGATTTGGGTATATTGACGCGCAGGTGAGCGCGCTTGGGCGGTGCAGTGTTTCAAATTTGGTTTCTGACTTTTTGTGAGATTTTGGTCCCACAAGAGAACAGAACTTTTACGGAGACGGAGGTATAGATGTTAAGTTGACTAAGAGTAAAGGATGGTTAGGTGGCGGCCACGTAGTAGAGAGGAATGATAATTGGTGATTGGTTGGATGAATATTTGGAGATATTATTCTTTTTGAAAAATCACATATACATTAATGCACTGCGAGTTGATCCAGAAGTTTTATTGTAAGCTTGTATAAACAATTAAACATATCGATTTATCCAATAAGCTTCTAGAAGTTTGAATGTTGAATACAAATATAACTATTAATTTTGTTCTGTCTGGCAGCGGCAGTTCCCATGTCAATCGCCCACCACTATAATATTTTGTTCTTAAAAGATAAAAATTTATCCGAACCTGACCTGGATTTATATTTTATAGTTTATTAACAATTTACAATCATCAAATCAAAGTGACGAAGAGTGGAAATTTTTATTTATTTTTAAATTAATGGTCAATAAAAATAAATCTATTAACCTAATATCAGATGAAAATCACAATAAAAATTGATAAACAATTGTCAATTTTGACATGTTGAAGGGAATTTTAATACTATGACCTTTTGTTATTGGTAAGGGTTATAAAAATCATATTTAATAACCTAATATCATATAGAATTTTTTAATATAATTGTCAATTAACGACTACCATGGTAGGACGCCAAAGAAGAAAGTTATTATAAAATTCAAGCAATCTTATATTGACCGGTTCTTAGTTAGTTCTTAGTGCTGCTCAACTAAACTTGAATTGGGCATCTGATTGAATGTATAATATTAATAACGAGTGGGAATAAATGATGATTATATACTGAACAAATAATAGTATAAGACTAGGTAGGTTTACTTCTATTCTATTTCTCTGTGTCTTCGATTTATTTCACGAAAGCTTGAGCTCATCTATTTAGTCGGCAATGGCTGTCTATTTGAAAACCACATCTCCTCCATTTTAACGATGAATTCAATCCGGGGAATTATTTCACAAACAACAACGTCTTAATACGGCAACCAAGACAAGTAGTTTCTGCTATACATTTCAACTATAACAAGACAAAAGGGTTCTTTCCCGAATGCTTCATAGCCCAACTTGACGGCAAAGAAGACTGCTGAACTTTGATGAAAAGTGGAAAAAGAAATGTTACTTGTTTAACAAATTCAATTTTGTTTCTTGATTAATTATTCAGTTTGCTTTGAAATCTATGTTTTAATACGTATTTTCCTCAGAAGATACCTCACTGTGATTAGTTTATATTTGAGTTCCATCATCGGATATATTCAAATAGGATTATTAACATTAAAGTATCTCATAATGAGTTGTTGATAGTATAAGATAAACAAACAACATTAATTTGACTTGTTAAATGTTAAGTTACACCAAACAAATTCCATCTTCAAACCATTACTAATATCAGTAATTCCCACCCAAAAAAATTTAAAATATCACTTTCTCACCCAAAGTTTATATTTTCTTAATATCCAACATATATTTCACTTTCTCAATCGGCGTTCGGCCAATTACCAGGAGTCAGGTAAGAGGGTTTTTGTAGAGTGGAAGTCAGTGGACTGAACGGTGGTGACTGATTGAATATTCACCACCGGAATCAGTCAGAAATCAGCTAAGAATGAGAAACCTTAACTTTCTGTGCCTAATAATCAAAGAGAAATCAAGTGTATGAGTGAGAGGGGTTTTCTAGAAAGGAGATCAGAGGTTCAAATAGTGGTGACGGAGAGAATTTTCACCGCTAGAATCATCTTTAGTTAGTAACGGAATATAAACTTTGGGTGGAAAAGTGGTATTTTAAAACTTTTGAGTGGAAAAATGTTATTAAGGCAAACCTTGGTGGAAAAAAGGAAAACAATAAAAAAGGAAATAATATAGCATGCTTTTGTTTCAACGTTTAATATTATATGAAGACTCTGTATTGAGGATCCTATATCGGCAGCATGATTATAAATAATTAAAGGCATGGGTAATGATAAGAGTTGAATATTCCTGATTTCATCATTTATTTCGTTGAAGGTCGATCGATGTAATCAAAGTGGTTGATGTTGATCTGATCTCCCAGCTTTCCACTTTGCCAAAGGATCAAACTCCATCCAGATTTTGTTACTAATTATTCATTTCCCCAAAGAATATTACAATGTTTACGTTGCTATCACCATTCAACATTGTAGAATATGATTGAAACGGGAAGAAACTAGAAGCAAGCAAAAGGGTTTCAAGCTTTAAACTCAAACAAGAAAGCAGTGAATGCGAAACGATCAAGGAGTTGAACAAGTCTTTTCTTTCTTAGGTTGTTTTCTCAATTATTGACTGCCATTTTCAGTGGGCTTCATAATTAGTGCACAATAAGAATACAGGTGGTTGATAGAATTTGCTTTAAAATTTAAAGTCAATTAGATTGATGTGGCATCCTCATCTAACAACCACAATATGATCGTGCAAAGATCTATTTGGTAGGTAAGTTTTGTTATCTATTTTTCTGTTTAATCAGAAATTGGAGTTTTCTATATTAGGGCTCTATTTCAAACAAGGCAATGAAGTCCAACAATATCAAGCTACAAGTCCACCAGGACTACTACTGAGCCAGAGGTATTTTTAATTGGCCCATAATCTTAAATATCTATCAGTCCAACCAAACACCTCCTTTGCAGGCTTGTGTAATGGATCAGAACTTAACAATTGGCCACTTCATATCCCCTCAATTGCTTTTAGTTTTCCTGTGAAAATTAATAATATTACACTGACCACTGACCTATTACCAATGAAAAGAATCAGCTTCTTCTTCCTTTTTTACTCTCTTTTAAATTCCATGTTGATCTCAACATAAATCCTATATTTATCTACGTATTGCTGGTATTGGTGAGAAGTTTTGAATTGAATATCTTGGACTGTGAACATTATAAATTATTATAAACGACATGCTTGACATGACTAACAAATCAATCTTTTCAAGGCAATTTGTAGGTTTCGTTTTTCATTGTCGAACAAGTTGTTCTAATCGTAGAATCTCGTACCCCGGACTCATCTGAAATCTCATTAAAAATTCAGATACGTATTATTGTATTAAGATTTAAGAAACGAGAAACTCCGAGGTTAACTTTAGCAAATGATTATGAGGCCCGTGGTTTTGGTTAGCCGCGGTTTCGTTCCGCTGCAATGGCTTGCCTGCGCCTGAACGTCACTGACAAGACTTATGTGTTTGGAGTTATCATGCACGTGTACCGCAACATGTTTATTGTCCAATCGTATCAGACGAAGCTCATGACTCATGACTCATGTCATTTCAACTCTACTATTTTTTTATATGCCACCGCTGCTCAACTATTATTTCTAGGCTACAGTAACTAATAACTTCATTTACCCTAAAAACAAAATTTTCATTGATTTTAGTTTAATAACTGGAGTTTTTTAGGTATTAATTTGAATTAATTGATTCTTTCTGCCGGTTAGATATATATATTTAGTTAATAAGAATTTTTTACCAAATAATATATTAGGTATACAGGAATTTTTGTCCCCGACCCAGGAAAGCAAACAGATAACTACATGTTTTTATATGTTCACAAGCATCTTCATCGTTGGAATTAATTTTACAGAAAAGACTTTTGCGGTGTGTACAATATAATTTAAATTATTGGGAGTCCGGTTGAATCAAAATATTTTTAATGCAAAAGAAATTTTTTAGAATGTATGACTACTTGAATATATATTTGTCTCCACGTCCCACCAGATGACAAAAACCATTTAGCGGTCTAAAATAGATGCTTGTACGAAATAATTAAAATATACTAAACACGGCATAATTATATATTGTATATCGTATATAATAATTCAACGTGTTTTGACCAAAACCTAATTTACATGCATGAATATAAAAGGAAATAATATAAAACATTTTAACTCCCCGTAATTTACCACTCATGGGCAGTCCAATTGGAAGGGCAAACCAAGATGGCTTAATTTGTCTAACCATCAATCTTAGTTTGATTTTTCGCTTGACTCAAAGGTAGTACCTTTACCTATAATTTACTTAGTATCTTTACCTATAATTTACTTAGAGAGTCATATATTGCTATAGGATAACCTCCTTTAATAAATAGTTGAAGTGCATGTAAGATGATAAGCGATGTCTAACAAATACATAAAAAGACATATATATTTATATTTTTTCATCGTCATCGTCAGGGTTGTTCAAATCCGGATATCCGATCCAAATAGGGCTTTTCCTGATCTTATCCGAATTTTTGGATCAAGCTATATATTGATTCGAATCCAATCCGAATTATGTGGATATCTGGTTTTACGGATATCCGATTATTCGGATCGGATAATCGGATATCCGAAATTTATCTGAATTTTAAGATTTTCTTATTAAAATCAAATAATTCAATCCTTAAGGCTAATAATGCTCCAAAGCCATATTGCAAGGACATATGCAATCCGTCACCAATTAGAATGTGTCACATTTCATAGGAACAACATCAAAGTGAACAATAATAATAATCTAAAATTTAAGCAGTTTCAATGAACTAGAAACATAAGCAGTACTGCAGCACAGAGGAAACCCAAAGAGCAGAAATGCTCCTGTGGCATTTACATCAAATTAGGGAAACACCTTAACTTAAATCAGACCAAGCCTCTACACTCCATTCGCCATCACAGTAAGTAAACGCTTGGATGAGTACAAACCCAATCGGCACAATTTGAATCAAACTCAGCCTCCATCAACCTTGTAATAGGTTCAAAACGCAAATCAATAATTCAATACTAATGAACAATAGAAGGTTTGTAACCGGGACAAAGAGAGAAGGCACCATATTACGGTGCCATTAACATCAAACTCAAATCAACATCAAAACAAAAACACCCATCAAATTGTACCATTAACAAAACCATCACCAACAATAATAAAGAAAAAGCACCACGAAATCGCCACCAGGTATTACGGTGTGGCGGCAGTCGCACTGGCTGTGACAACAATCGATTTGGGGCTTCAATCGTCAGAGAGACTGAGATCTGAGAGTGTTCGAGCGAGAGAGAGTGAGACACCGAGAGAGTTGAGAGCGTTCGAGCGAGGAGAGAGTGAGACACGAGAGAGTGGCTGACTGACTGTGTGTCTGCTGTGCGTGTTTGAGCGAGAGAGGCAAAGTGAGATTGAGATGAGAGTGAAGTGTGCGTGTTGAGCGAGAGAGACAGTGAGAGACTGAGAGACAGACGAGATCTGGTTTGGAGAGTGAAAGGTTGTGCTTGTTTGAGCGAGAGAGACAGTGAGAGACTGAGACGACAGACGAGACCTGGTCTGAGAGAGTGGAATGTGACTCTGTGAGAGGCTGTGCGACGTGCGGGAGTCGTGACTGCGTGTTCATGTTCGAGCGAGAGCCGAGGAGAGCAGAGAGTGAGAGAGACAGAGAGTTGACTTATTGTGTTGAGTTACTGAGTTAGACTGTAGTGTTATGGTTAATTTAATTTTTAAAACTCAAAACGACGTAGTTTTGTAAAATCCGGCTCGGATACGGATATCCGATTTTTTAATAATCCCGATCCGGTATCCGATCCGAATATTTAGATTTTGCTAAATTATGATCCGTATCCGATCCAAATTTCGGATATCCGATTTTTCCGGAGCGGAGCGAATTAGGATCGGATATCGGATATTGGATTTTTTTGCACAGCCCTAGTCATCGTCAACTAGATCCATTATCTCAAATTGAGAAAATTAAACTAAATAAATCTCAAATAAAATATTATGTGAAAGTTGTCGTTTACTTATAGAAACAATTCAATTATATCCAATAATGCATATATGGCTTTTGGGATTTATCTGTATACATTTGTCGGACTTTATATTAGTTTAAAATTTCATCAATTCTTGGAACTGTTCGCGGGCTTCATATTCATTGCATTTTGCGGCACTTAATTGAAGTGGTGCAACAAAATGACGTCTTTACAGTGAGTGGCATTGTTGTTGGAATAAGATGACGACAATACCGTCTTTGTTGAAAGAAAAGATGAGCATAAACGCCTTTAACTATATGTATAAGTAGAATTAATGACATAATAGATTTTGATATGGTTCTTGTGATTAAAGTGTCAAAACGACAAGAAGAATTATGAACACCGGAATCTTTCTAATTTCTTAAATAAAACTTCTTATGTGTGATTTTTCCATTAAGCTTGATGAGTTACGAGGTATTAGATTGACTCATAATTAGTTCGACTCCACCAGTTGTCCGACTCAACATAAACTCATCGATAAATAGCTCGACTCAGCATAAGTTAGTCGTGAACAATTTGAATGATCATTCAATCGATTCCCAGATAACTTCAGATTCCAAATATTACGAAAATGATCAAATTAACAAAAATCTCTGAGTAATCACAGTACCCAATCACAAGAATATCAGAGTTATATTTCAAATCAATTGTAATCTATTTATTTTCGCTATTTCCTTTGTACAAACATCGTATATAAAACCCCTTAAATGATAAAAAAATGGGTTAGAAATTTCCATAGAATTATTATTGTAAGTTCTCACAACAAATACAAGAACAGTGGATATAAGCTCGAAAGTTTACCTCGTCGAACCATTTTAAAAATCTCATTGTCACTTATTTTATTACATTTTATTATTCATACACAACTGATTATCCGTAATCATCCAATTTCTATTATAATTCCATCAAGTTAAATTAGATCTCTCTTATTAATACGAATTTTCGTATAACAAACCTATAAAAGTAAAAAAAGAGCGCTTTTCATTCTTCTCTCTTTTCAAAAACTCTATTGTGTTATATTATATAAAAGAACCCACTTATTTATTATGGTATGGGCTTTGCGAGAAGTTAGGCCCCAGCTGGGATCCAGGAGCCTTAAATTTTCCGCCTGCTTAAAATGGCCTAGTGGATAGGTTGTACAAAAACCTGACCGTAGAGGAGGTAAACCCGAGGGGAGAATCTGAATTTTCAAAAGAGACAAAAGGAGACAGTAAGCAAGTTCCCAGAATTTGAGGTCCCCATATCCGCGGTTTCTTGAACAAGTCAACAAAACTCAGTTTTGGTTAGAACTCAATAATTCAATTAATAACAACTCGTCTGATCAAATTATAGGCGATTAATAAAAATGAGCCGTCCAATAAATTGTGGCCACTTGCGCATGCAGGTTAGAATATCTGGTGGCGTAGTTTGCGCTTGAAGCACATGCTATGGTCACAGAATAGAATGATAGTTCCGTAGATGTTAATCACAGACTAATCTTGGTGTTAAACATAAGGTATCTCATTCTCATAGGCAATTGTGTGCAGATCGAAAATTTCTATCTGTCCACACTTATTGCCAAAGTCTGTGATTAGGTGTAAGAGAAACCTATTTATTTATCACTTGAGAAATTCATTAGACATATGTATAATATTTCTCTCTTTCAATCTCTATTACATGCATCTGTATGCTTAATTTATAAAATACTGTTGAGAATGAGACGAACTTTGAGTAGTTAGCAATTGGTATAATATAGAGAATAAAAAGTCTCCTCCGCGTTACCAAAGTATGAAATTGAGTGGGACGCGGTGACTGTTACGAGCATATAATATCATACTCATAATAGTAAGCTGATTACAACTCTTTTTAGTGTGACAAGCAACATTTGATAATAATTCAAACAAGCAACCTATAGCTTTCCAAGGAGATCTCAAGGAAGAAAATGACTGGTTAAGAAATAACACGCACTAGCCAAATTGCCATGGAATCTCATAAACTAAAATTTTGTTGATACATTCAAAGGAATGCCAGTTGGCCATGGGATTTACTTCTTTTTAAATCTTTTACATTGATCTTAGTTCAGAGCATAGAATGACTTATTCTAAATTCCTAAATATAAAATAATACAACGGTGCAAGAAATATTCCATGGAAGGAGAACCCCAGAAAGAAGGGGAAAGCCCTATAAAGAATGTCTTATATTGATGGTGGGGTTATTAATTATTTTAATAATTTTTTATTTAAAATAAAATAAGAATTTGTATTGGTAAAAGTGACTAAAAATCAGAAAACAATAGTGGTCTTGGGAAGGAGAGTTAGGCACATATGTAGTCTTCATCGTTGATGATTACAGAGTGGCCCTTTGTGAAGTCACATGGATTCCTCTGGATATGTACAGACACCTGAACTAAGCTTGGCATAGCCTGTTCTCTTTCTTATAGATCTTCGTCAGAATCTCTAAGTTCCAATCACCTTTTCGTCTTCTCTCTCCGTTTATGTCCAAGCGTCCGAGTTCCGACCACATTGTTACTTAATTAAACCATCTAATTAGGCATCTCATTTTTTTTTTCTCTGTATAAAATATTGAACCGTAGATGAAAGACAATTTTGGCCTTAAATCATCAGACATTTAACCAGAATTAACAAAGGAGACGACTGTCTTTCCACTAAAAATTGGTGCTCACTTCATGAAATGGGATATGCCTATGGACCCACCTGTTTCTGTTTTTGCTACTGTTAATTTTTCTTGAATTTTTTATTCGAGTTTGTTAAACCTTGAGAACTATTCTTAAACAGTATTGCTAGCACTCTCTCCAATTGCCAAGAGAATCTCTCTCTGTGTGGTCTAGTGACTGGTCTACAATGCAATCTCACGTGCAACACGCTGTAGATTTTGTTTTATAGATTAAACATCTTTAAAGTCGCTATACTTTCTTCGTGAACTTCATAAAAAGGCTAGTTCGTTTGGTCTTTTGGGATTGTTGTGGGTGTCCGGGGCTCATTCAAGTTCATTTTCTTTCATTTAGCTAGGTTTCTTTCAAGGAAACAGTTCTCAGCTTTTTAAGTCTTCTTCTCTAACAAGCCATTAAGACCGTTCTTTATTTTCTCTAGTGTGTCTTTCGACGCGTTTGTCTGCCTCTAAGTACAAAGTGTCTCCCGGAAAGAGAGAGTGACAAGTCAGGAAAAAGTAATAAGATTTGATAGAGAGATGGCATTAGAAGCAGTGATTCATCCGCAGGACACATTTAATTATGCCTGCAAAGACTTGTACTCTCTGGTAGCTGGAGCTGGAGCTTGGGGCTATGACTTCTGTTTTAAAGAAGAACGTAAACCACTTCCTGGAGTTCTTGATCACAATAACAACAGAGAACAAGGTCTCCATGCAAATTGGGATTCCTCATCTCCTTCAATGATGCAACACACAATGGAGTGGGGTCCTAATTCTTCTCCTGAGGCCTGCACAGCTGACCAATCTCTATCTGGAGAATTATTGGCTTCAATGGAACCACCGGCAACAACAGCAGCAGGGAGGCGGAAGCGAAGACGCACTAAGAACAGCAAAAACAAGGAAGAAATTGAGAATCAGAGGATGACTCACATTGCTGTTGAACGCAACCGCCGTAAACAGATGAACGAGTATCTAGCCGCGCTCCGGTCTCTTATGCCGCCTTCTTATGTTCAAAGGGCAAGTTATAACTCTCTCTTCGCCGCAAAAAAATACCAGTATTTTTTTCTCTATTTTCTAGATACAACATTTGAGCTACAAGTTCATCAAAATTTTAAAATTTTGACTACTCATGTTTAAGCCTATTAAACTATTATTTTTGCTTCTAAAAGATTCCAAATCTTGAATGATTTCAACTCTCAAGCTTGTAGACAAGTAGTTATATAATTAATTTGAATTCTTTTAATCAAATTTCACTTTTTTCTTTTCCTGATATGCCTGTTATAATAATCAGGGTGACCAAGCATCGATAATCGGCGGCTCCATTAACTTTGTTAAAGAGTTAGAACAGCTTTTGCAGTCCATGGAGTCCCAGAAGAGGACTGCTAAAAGCCCAGGCGATAATGGCGTCTCTTCTCCATTTGCGAACTTCTTCGCTTTTCCACAATATTCATCACGTGCCACTCAGCGCAGCAATTCATTTGGCACTGCAAGTGATTCGAATATGACCGATAACATTGCAGACATAGAAGTGACAATGGTGGAGAGCCATGCCAACGTTAAGATACTTACAAAGAGACAACCCAGGCAGCTCCTTAAGATGGTAGCCAGGTTTCAAAGTCTCCGGCTCAGTATTCTCCATCTCAATGTCACATCTACTGTTGATCAAATGGTCCTCTATTCATTTAGTGTTAAGGTTAGTGATCACATATATAAACATATTTATGGTAATTACTTACACTGATCTCATTTTTAAGCTAATGATCATTTTGGCTTGGTGTAAATTGGGACAGCTTGATGAAGGGTGCCAACTGAGCACGGTGGATGAAATTGCTGGTGCTGTGAACCAAACACTACTGAAAATTGAGGAGGAAGCTGCAACTTTTATTTAGATAATAGCTAATCAAAATGTGAATATAACCCTAATTTTTTTTTTGTATTCTGTAACTGGGGTTATTTGTGTCTCTGATGATTAATGAGTTAAAGCGGTACGGGTACTGTTGCTTGCTTTCGATCAGTTACGTGTCTTTTTCGGTCCTTTGAGAATCCTGCGTAGTGTGTATAACATTTGTCCTAACTGCCCACTGGGCTTTGGACCACTCAAATCTTATGCCGTAAGCTTTAAGCCATATATGATCAGCTGCGGGCAAGCAATAGACACCACTTACTTTCAGTTGCATGCATCTTCAAAGTTTTATATTTAACAAGACAAAAATATCCAAGTCACCAACACGACTTCTCTTGTTCTCTTTACAGTTTATATATTATCACGAGTCACGACTTCTGACCTTCATATTATTTTGGATAATATATACCTTTATTCTGGAGATCCATTTGGGTTCACATATATCTGCTCGCTGTATTTTCAAAGTTCATTTTTAGTTTTTTTTTTTTTTTAAAAAAAAAAACGAGGCTTACATTACATACGTGAGGATCGACTTAAATCCACAGTGCCATTCTAAATCTCAGCTCTTTCCTGGAAGACGCAAAGAGAATTTAAGTTTCCTATCCGGCAAAATGTGTGGTGTTGTTTCCTTTGAAAAGGCATTGCTGTTTGCTGCCACTTTAAGATCTTATCCTAAATTCACTTTCCCTATTAAATGATAAGGAAAACTGGCTTTAAATCAAAACCTTCAATTATTAGTGGGTGCCACAGGCAAATCCAACATAATTCAATGGACCTTCGCCTTTTGTTGAACGAATCTAGGTGATTATAGATTTTGTTTGATTAATTATACAAATGATTGATGGGAGAAATTGATTTCTGAAAAAAGAAAATTAAACAAAAGAAAAGCCAAAAAGAAATGACAAAAGCGACTGATTATCTTGATCGAGACCTTCTTTCTTGAGATAACTCTATCAAGCATCATTCATAGAGTTGAAATAATGTGTAGAAAGTGGGGTTTAATAAATGATACACTGAAGTTGTGCCGCAGCTTATTTTAAAATAAATTTATATCACTCGTAATGATCCATGAGATTCTTGTTAACACTTTAGGGGAAAAGGAGAAGCTATAAAAGGCATCTAGGAAGGAGAAAGACGACCTATAGCTGCCCAGGCATGAGCATGAACAGAATTAGAAGAGCTAAAACTCCATTAACACTTAGCTTTAAAATTGAAACATGTGTTAATTAGCACCTTGATACGTCGTTTCTTTCCCTTTTCAGGGTCCCACGGTCAAATATATATAGCTGTGTTATATATGATAATGGCTGTTTTGGCTAATAATTCGGTTCCATTTTTTACAAAAGAAAACGGTAATTTTGTCCAACCAAAAGACAAAATTTCTTTTACGTGGAGAGGAAGTGCATGTGAGGCAGTAACGAAGAAATTTCGTGAATGAAATGATTTGGATGGCAATAACAGCTAGTACCATGCCTATATTTCCACATCTTTTCATTCTCATGATTATGTTTCTGGAAAGTCATTTATGTATGATTCTGGAATTTGAGCACATAATTGCAGTGCTGAAAGATGAAATAAGTGAGAACAAATAAATACACGCTTTTATATGGATCTATTATTAATATAATTCAACCAGAATTAATTTCTAGATTAATTAACTGAGCGATGTCTCGTGTTAGGACTTGTTATCGTTGACCATATCTCTTTCCATTGGATATATATGATGGGTTGTGGTGGTTGATATGCTTAAGTTGGGTTGAACGTGCTGTGTCACGGTCTTCCAGTTCCAGATCTGGTAGCTAGAAACAGGCAGATTCATGACCAACAAAATGTATTACATTTATTATGCAAAGAAATCACGTGAACGAAAGATGCTCCGACCTCAATTTTGCATAAAGATTATGTCTTCAACCATCCAAATGTCGTCAAGAAGGTAGACTGCGAGTATTCAAGCTCGATTTGTGAGGGAAATCAGGGAGGGCTTCAACCTTCAATTGTACGGAGAGAAAGATGAATGCCAATATTTAATTTGGTTATTATTTGCTTTTAATTCTGAAATTTTGGAAGTGTGTTATGCCCTTAGTACATATACACACATCAAACCATTATACTAGTATAAGCATGTGGTAAGACTTTTAAGTGAGCTTATTATCACGGGTTGTGAGTTTTACACCCAAAAGACAAACCCATTAGGTGGAGGGACTCCCCTCTCTTATAAGCCCAAGACCTCCTCAAATAATGGTTTAATGATACTATTCTACCCACGAACTTTTAAAATACCACTTTATTACCCAAATTTATATTTCGACAGTGAACAGAGAGTATACTTAGTCCAGACTGTTGGGTCTTTTGAAGAGGGGAGACCGATGAGTCTTTTAGTAGTAGAATGTTGGATTTTAGTAATTGAGATTTATTAGAATTTGACTTGGAAGGGGCGGATGCGCAAACCTTAATCACTCGATTGCCTGCGATTAGCGGGGTTGGTGAGAGTAGGATTTGAGGGGTTTCGGTAGTGAACAGAGAGCACACTTAGTCTAGACTGTTAGCGCTTTTGAAGAGGGGAGATCAATGATTCTTTTAGTAGTGGAATGTTGGATTTTAGTGATTGAGATTGATTATAATTTGACTTGGAAGGGGCGGGTGCGCAAACCTTAATTGTTCGATTGCCTGCGATTAGCTAGATTGGTGGGAGTAGAGTTTAAGGGGTTTTGGTGAGTGATGATTAAAGAAGAGAATAATGGTGGTGTAGGTCAAAACGATGCCAAAATCAGAAATGAAATATAAATTTAGATAATTAAATGTTATTTTAAAAGTTTATAAATAGGAAATTATCATTAAACCATTATTTGAATTGGAAAAAAGTCGTTTACTCTTAATTACCCGGTTGAATCCAGAGTTTGTTGGTCCAACTCAATAATCAACCCATTGATCTAGTGCATCTATTCCCCACCAATACTGCTGTCTTATATGGGCTTAAAGGCCCAGCTTCTTCATCATTATTGAGCCATTGATCCTACGAGAAGACTGTTTCACACATTTAGCTTTATAAATTACGCATAAAAAAATAAAACAGAGATCGGATATAATGAACATTTTATTTTCAAAAATAATAATTTAGAAAAACCATCCGTTGTTTTTTTTTTTTTTTCGTAAATATGCTATCAGACCCGAGTCACCGGAAGTTACAGACCCCTGGGTTGTGAAATAGTGAGGTGGTAATTTGAAATTTGTATTTTGTGAAGAGTATGGCATTTCAATAATTGTACTAAGATTTGACAACACAATTCCCATCTGTTTTACTTGGGATAACACTTCCATGTAGTTCAAAGCCTCACAGGCTACTGCAAAACTTACAAACAAAATTTGGAAATCAGGTGAGTCATGGATGAATTAGCTTTCCTCCTGGCGTAGCAAATTGTATCATCAGTCCTGACAAGTCCTTAACCACTCAGATCTTGCAAGTCATGGTGTGGTGAAAAAAAAAAAAAAAATTCCTACACCTGGGCAAAATTTAGGTAATATATCTGGTCTATGACCAGGAAGTGTATAATTAAATTGCATGCTAACTTGGTTTTCAATTTTCGGCCACTATTTTGAGGAAATGAAATCATTGTTGCCACTTAATAGAAGGTTAGCCATCAAATCAAATAGGTGGGCGTGCACAATCATCTTTAGAGTGAAGATGAAGAGAAATAGTTGATTGGTTGGACTCCAAATAAAGAAGCTAGCAAGGGATGAAAACCAAACCAATAGAATTAGCTAACAAAGGTTTGGCTTGTTACAGAGCCTGATGCTTTGGTTGGTGCCACTAATTAAGAAATTAACCCTGCATTTGAAGCTCAACCAAACAATAGGAACTTATACAATTCTTTAAATAAAAGGATTTTACGTTTTGCTAAAAATGAGCCAGAGTTATGAACAGCTTAATTGCTCTCTATTATACGGATCTGCAATTAAAATCGAAATGAAAACATTATCTACCTGAAGAAAAAATCCTGAATACCAGAGGGTTGTCACATAATCCTAAAATGATATTTAATCTGGGGCGTCAAAAGCCCTGCTTATTAACCTCCAAAAGAAAGGATATTATACATCCTGGAAAGAAGAACGGCTGCATTACTACAATTCACTTGTTCCGACTAGCTATAAAGTTTGCGACAGAAATGTCAATGTTTTCCATTGTGCAAAGAAAACGTTAGTATCTGGTAAATATCTAGAAAGTAGAGAACTTGAAAGATGCAGTTCCAAACCAGTGTAAGGGCTGGAACATATGCAAAGATTGATTTTCACGATTTTTAAGTAAAAAATTGAACACCTATAGGTGATATTACCAAATGCATGAAAGGTTTGGAGAAAAAGAAACAGTCTTAGTCGAACCAATTGTTTCACCCGTGTAGAAACATTTCTTACATACACTACAAATTAATTAGGTTTTCTCTTTTAACCATTTGCTTACATAATCTGAGACACACCAAAAAAAAAAAAAAAAAAGGCATAAACCTGAAAAACAAAAATAAAGCATATTGATATGGTAGGTATCCGTAAGTGGAAATGTTACCTTCTCCTCAAAGGCAGTGGCTTATCTCCTCCTCTATATCACACATTCACACCAGTAAACAGAACTTATTCTAGTTCTACTTCAGAACTTATGTTGGAGCTTTTGTTTGAAATTTATTATTCTGAAGTAGCTTCACCTTCTAAACAATCCACTACTATCCCCTAGCTCGTTTTCTCAATCCTTGGGTTATGTACTCGGTACAGAAAGCAGACTTAAATGGACTGCTTACACATAGATTGTGTATGAATCATCTTTGCCTTGCAAAAATAATGCCTCTATAACCAAATATACACCACAGTGAGGTCGTTATATGGCAAGTAAAAAATCTTCACAAGGGAAGAATTGCATTTAAGTTCCTATTTCGTCTAGATGACAGAAACCTTCCGCTACAAGAGAAAGATCTCTTCATAGACACGGGGCCTTTATGCAGACATTGCCCAATTGAAGAACTACCCGTCAGTCTAGACATGTTTGAATACGCACCATCTTGCTTCAAAACAATAGCTGAATAAGATTTCTCAGCATCGTTTGTTTGATCAAACGAACAATCTCCTGGTTCAGCTGGGCAGAAATCAGACAAACCAAGACATATGATCTCAGCCAATGAAGAATCCAATGAAACAGACCTCCTAAATGCTTGTACATCATTCTTCACAACCTTAATATCGCCTCCTGAATTATCAACTGCTTCTAAAACACCATTCCCATTAAAATTCTCACCATCCTTCAATACTCCTTCAGCACCAAGGTGCAGTATCTCATCCTCCTCTGTTCCTGTCCTGTTTTCACGAACACCCTCACCGTTTCTCTCCCGATTCTCCCCCAACTCACAATCAATTTCTGAACTCTCAGCATGTGTAGACTCAATTAAATTAGAGTCACCCGAATTTTGGTCCACGGTAACCAAAGGAGAAGCACCAGTTTCAGAGACTATATAGGCACGACACATGGGACAATTAATATGAGAACTTAACCAAGTATCAATACAAGAAACATGGAAAGCATGATTGCACTTAGGCAATAGCCTAACAGTCTCATCTTCTTCAAACTCATTCAAGCAAACGGAGCACTCAGTTCCTTCAATCAACCCCTCACCTTTCTTGTACTTACAGACGGTAATCGAATTTATAATAGACTGTTGCAACCCCGCGGTGGTGATGAGCCATATGGGGTGATCAACTCTGTTTTCATCAAGAAACTCTTCATCTCCACCTGGCTGCTGAGTCCCATTATTTGCACGCTCACGACTCTTAACTATGACAGCATAGAAAAACATAAAAATGAAGAAGGTGGCCACTAAACAAATAAATATGATCAAATAAGGTGAAATTGTGAGTCTATGATGATGAGAAGGAGGTGGCGGCGGGGGATAGTAAATATCTGGAAAAGGTTCACAGTTATAACCGCAAGCAGGATCACAATAATATGTGCAATCTATAGAACTATTTGATGTTTCTGGGAAGAGTTTTCTGTGTTTCATTGCCATTAAAGTGGTTAAAGAGACTATGCAGGAAAGTGAGAGAGAAATGCAGGAAGATGATTGTGAGAAATGAGTTGTCTTGTTTGAATTGCAAGAGAAGAAATGAAGGAACTTAAGAAATGCTTTGAGTCAATTTCAAAGGTTAGTAAAAAGTAGAGACTGAAAATGTGTTTTTTCTGTTAGGCTTTGGCTTTAAATCTAGAAACTCCATTTCCATGTGGTCCTACGGTGACTGGGGGGATCCGCTTAATCACGTAATTATGTCATTTAAAGTATGTTTATTGGAGGGTGAGAGCGTTTACGTAAGAAGAAAAATGCCAATGCCGTTGACTTCCTTACTAAGCTTTCAGTAGCTGATAGGGGTTCGGCTTTCTCATCAGCCCTTAGAAGGCCCCTCCCTTTAAGCAAAGCCGCCAGGCTTTTACCTCAAAAAATGAGCGCCGCCTCCCAAAATTCGAAAAAAAAAGCTGGCCGACTATTTCGTAGAACGGAATAGAGTAAAGCCAGATCTTAAAGCAGCTAACAGCTTTAACTGTCACAGTTTTACGAAAAAACTCTATGCACCTTATCTTGGCTATGGAGCCAGCGTCGGTCAAGTATCGCTTTAAGGCCCTGTTTATTAATGGCATTTCCAGAGTCCTCGCCTTACAGGGATGTGGTCACTGCCTATTAAGAAAATCGGGATGAGGCAAATTGGTCGCCTCTGTCAACTGCTTTAAGTACATTGGCGGTGGATCAGTTGAAAGTCACTTCCGCTGGATACTATAAATATAACTATAGTCATTTCGATTCATATTCTCCCTCGCTCGATGCTGGCCTTTTGTAAAAGATTAAAGAAATGGGGTCCGATCAGTCCAAAGATGTCGTTCAAGTCTTTTCACCAAGGAATAGTTGTATTAAAAAAGCAAAAATGGAATAGTTGTATTAAAAAAATAAAGGTGCATTTAGTCCACTATTTCTACTCATATTCTCAATTATATTCTCCAAATATTATTTGACACATTATTCTATAAATATTAGTGAATCTTTTTAATTACTTTTAGACCCCTTAAGTTTATTAATTTCACTAAATACCTAAAAAAAGTTTAAAAATTAGCAAAAACACCTCCACTCACCCATACTTGTCAAATTTTGACAACCACCATCGGTGGTAGCCGGAATCTGTCACACAGCTTAAACCAAGCCTGAAACTGATCATTTATTCACCGATCTAGCCTTTTCCGGCCAGATCTGGTTGTCAGCGACAGCCAAAACTTGGTCATCGTTGACCGAAAACAACGGCCATATCTTTGGCCGTCAGTGGACCTTTGCGGCCGTCGACAACCACATCTGGGTGTAGATCAGGCTTTTTCCGACCATATCTGTGGTGGATATGGCCGAAAAAGGCCATAGCGACGCGTTACGACACAGATCCAACTGGTCTCTGTCGTAACGAAATTTTTCGGCCAGATTCCGACGGTGGTGGTTAGAATCTGGCACTACAGGTGATGGGGGTATTTTTGTCATTTTACATATTGGGGTGTTTAATTAAATTAGCAAACCTTGGGGTTTTTTTTATAAATTTTTAAATTTTACCTTGTAATACTCCCCTATCTAACTACCCAAAATTATTCTCAAAATCCTATCCAAAATAATGAACCAAACACACCAAAAAATGTGTCACATAAAACCTCTCTATAGTGACACTCTATATAGGAATAAATTCTACATAGTCATAAAAAATTCAATTCCCAATTTGAGACAGTTATAAATAGGAAAAACTTTACATTATAATAAGTTATAATTTTTCTAATTCCCGTCTTAAGAAAAATTGTCTCCACATAATAATAATTATCTGTATGTTGAAAAAAAAATATATGATATGTTACATTAAAGGTTTAAGATGAAATAAAATATTTATCTAAAGTTGTTTGAGATAATAATTTATGCTTTAGAGTTGTTACTATATCTTTTAACTTGCGGGTAATTACTCGCTAGCATGAACATTTTCTTGTTGAAGCTAAATATTTCTAGTTTCTCAAGTATGTTTAAAGCTTTTTAACATAAAACTTTTTATATTTCCGTACTATCATCCTCGTGATTATTTCTTTTATCTTCTTATCTAATTATAGTAATGATTTCTTCTTTAGTTAAAACATACATAACTTATTGTTCATTTGAATGATTAAGAAAGACATTAATATCCATTCGATTAGTGTATGAAGTTGTCGAATCTGATCACTAAATTCTACCATGACTCTTTGATTCTCCTTATCCATTTTATTTGTAACTTACAATTCATCGATAACAGAGATCCTAATTTGGTAATGATTAAAATAATTGGCAATAGTATGTGGCTTCACATCAATTTGCTGTATAATTTTGTAATGATTAAAACAATTGACAATAGTTTATGACTTCATATCAATTTGGCCATACAGCAATTACATTTACAATTCCATCAAGGACGCTTATCTTTACTGGTTTCAAGACACGATCTTCTATTTATTTCAAAAATAGATAATTGAAGTGTTAAATTAAAATCTTAATAGTATTAAAATATCAATTAAAATCTTAATACTGTACTACTAAAATATGAAATATATAGAAATTTTTATTATTATACCTTTATTAAGTTTTAACTTTCTCATAATAATAAAATTAATTAACCACCTTATTATGAGTAGAATGTTACTCCTTGAAGGCAGAGCCGATATGAATAAAAGAGGCATTATCAAGTAAACTTTGGTAAATTGTCGCTATCAGGATGTCTATCTCATACCTTAAAAGTTGGTGGGTTCAACATTGTCTCTTACGAGTTGCCGTGGAGTCACAGTCTGGGTTGGTAATAGATTAATCTAACTGAAAAAGACTTATTGCTATGATTCATCAGCGGTGGACCAAACCAAAATTATTATCTACTTATCCATTCATTTTGGGTGTGAACCTAATTGTATTTTATTATTCTATAATATTTGCCTACGCGACATTGACAAGATGAATTTTCATTGAAGCTGCAGTATAGCTGTACTGTATCTTGGAGTCACATCCAAATGCAATAAATTTACAATATGATTTGGATTGTGCATATATGCTGAGTGTCATCTTTTCTGCATAAACATACTACAAACAATTGTTTTAAAATGCATCTAATCCTTTTTTTTTTTTTCTTATAGAAATCACTAAAAAGCTTCGTTTAAGTTAACTAAATAGTTCAATTAGGAAACAGTCTATATTTTGTCAAAATACATTCAAACAGTCTATATTTTTCATGTTTTAATAGTATTGAGTTGTTGACCATTGTTGGAATTGGGAGTCGATAAATTGAAAAACACAGCATAAAAAACGTGATGAACTTTGAAGAAAACTAATTTTATTTCTTTTAATCTGAATGACTCAAAATAAACATAAACTTTCCACCCTTTTTATAATAAAAGAAAATAATTCTAAACCTATTTCAACTCAAAGAGAAATTCTTCCTAAATAAAAAATCTCCTAAAACAAATGTTCTAAAACAAGAATTTAAGAAAATCTAAACTTCCTAATTCATCTCACAATAACCGGAAAACAAATATTCCCAATCTCAAACTCCTAAAACAGGACTTTCCTTAAAACTCAACTTCTGGAATCAAAGCCGCCTTTGTGCCAGGGCATGCCTCTTTCCTATGTCATGTGTAACAAATCATACATTGAAAGCGTATTAGGGAAGTCCTGAGCTTATAAATGGGTTGAGTCACTCCACCTAATAGGTTAGCCTTTTGGGTATAAAACTCCCAACCGATGACAAGTGGTATCAGAGCAGACTCGATCCGTCTGTCAATGTCTCACCAAGCACCCACACAGGGGCGTCCATATGCGATTGTGAGTCTACACGAGAGTAAGGTAGATGGGTAGGCAAGGGGGCCCCACCTGTAACGAGAGCGTTGCAGGATTGGGTGGGAGAAAATGTAACCAATCTCATATCGAAAGCGTATTGGAGATGTCTTGAGCTTATAAATGAGGGGAGTCCTTCCACTTAATAGGTTAGTCTTTTGGGTGTCAAACTCCCAACCCGTAACACATGGCATAGCGTGCTCTAGAATTTTTCTAAAAATTGACACTGCCGCGGCAAACTCTTCTCTAGCTACAAATCTGAATTCTTTCTCTTCAACGCTGCATCCCTTTGTTTCTTCAACTTGAGTCATGTTTGCATATGCACCAAAATAGGTTCAACTCTTAACAACCTTTCTAATTCTTGGACCCTGTTTTGGATTTTTTTTTTTTTTACAAAAAATAGGTAACAGTGCTTTACAATATTCAATCGAAAGAAAAAAAAAAAACGTACCATGTTTAATCACGATATAAAGTATTAATTAAAAGTAGAGGGAATCAAATGTTAGACTTCGAGTTCACTTTGGATGCTTAATTCAACCACGAAGACGGCTTAGGAAAGAAGCTTAACATACAGTCCAATAATCATCATGTTAGGTACGACTTTCCCCAACAATTCCAAATCAAATTCTCTTTATCCATACCATAACCTTATAACCAATATTATAAACACATTTTTTTTGGTAGTGCTGTTTAAGCCAAGCTAATGAACTGGAACTGGCTTACCCCACCTCTTTTCTGGGGTTAGATACTTAGATCCTTATTTGAACTTTGTACTGTATTTATCTGAAAAGATAAAAGGATATATATATATGTAGAATTATAAAGAAAAACACTGTGCTTTCTGTCAAATTTTGTTTAGTATGAATAGATTTGAATTCAAGTGACCTACGAGGCATGGGATGGAGTTTAGAGAGAGGGAGCGTCGGTGTTGTATGGATTTGTTAAACGTAAATGAGGTATAAACGATTCAGGGAAGGAAACATCTGAGCTACCATTGAATTGCAGTAATTCATTAAAGCAAAGGGGTGAGAAAATGAAGAAAACAAGTGCTAAATGACTCACAAAATTTTTATTAACTAATCACTCTTTTATCTTTAAATTATAAATGGAGCCCTTAAGTGGGGTTTTGAAACTAAAAGCATTTTAGTTTTTTTAAAGGTTTTATGGATAGCAGACACAACCCCAGTCAAACATGACGATGAACATTTCCAGTCTTGAGTCCCTAATAAAAACCTGGCCCAGTGTTGAAATTAAAGGTCTGTTAAGCCTGTGCTAATATACCTCTAAAGGGGCCTGTTCTGTATCAGAAACCAAATATCATGAAAATGGGATGATTTAAAGTTGTGTAAATGACACACGTAACCCCATTTGAGAAATTTTATTGGACAAGCATATACCCCAAGGTCGGCCCCTAGCTGATCAGAAGATGTTGTATCATACCTATACCTAGATCATTTTCGATGTAATTTCCATCATTTGCATATTACAAGCAAGCTCATTGTGAGTTGCTTCTGACCTTAGGCACATATCCCAGCCAGCCACCTTTATATAGGTCAAAACCCAAGCTTCAAGCTTTTGAATACAAGTTAATGCTCCTATTTTCAAACTTTCCTTTGAATACTTTATAGCGTCTGCGTGTCTACTCAATCCACCCCTCTCAGGCCACTTTTTTTCCAATCCATTATCACAAAAGTTGAATTTGCAAGTTTTGGCCACCTAACACATCCGTGGCATGGCATTCTATATGTATCCAAGAACTTGTTTTTCCTCATAATTCATCCTAAGAAGGGAAGAGTGTTCACTCAACGAAGATAAAAGTGTGCACATATATAGGAAATTATATGATTATAACTATGTTTCTCACCTGACAATAATTCAGTTTCTTTCCAATCAAGTGCTTATTTCTGTTCATATACATAACACCTAACCAATTAGTTTAATGGAAACAATAAATTAGTGCAATGAATTGTGCATACATTCAAAATCAGTAATGTACATTATTGTTTATATATAAATGGGAAATCTTTACTTCTGCATGCTTAATTGGAAGGTCATATATAAATATGGTTGAAATATCAACCATGTGCGAGTTAACGACATGTTCCCACCCAAAAAATGTCTCTTTCACAAATTCATACCCACCCACTTTTTAAATACCCTTTTAGTACCCAAAGCATAGTTTTATTAGTAATTTTCACTGTGAGGAAGGGCAAAATCGTCAAAAGGCCATTATTAATAAGGGTAGACTGATCAACAAACATTAGCAGTCGAAGACGAAGAAAAGAAAAAAGAGACGGCGCACGTTAGCAACGTTCACAGCTGACGGTTTTTTGCCGATCTCAAAGTTCAAAATCACTTCCGAGACCACCCACAGAATCTCCATCACCTCCTCTACAAAGCCCAAGCCTCCTTTTGCCGTCATCACTCACCATTTCCCACCACCACCTCCATTTGCACTGCCAACTCTTCAAGTCGGATTTCCGATCGATTTCTTTGCCATAAATTCCCCTAAACACCACCATCACACTCCCCACAACCCACTCTACAAAACACTTACCTCCATCACCGTCCCTTGCTCGCTGATCGTTGGCCATGCACCGCGCGACCTTTCAAATTCCAAGTCAATTTTTGGTCGTTTTCGGTATTGGAAATTGTCCGCCACCACCAATCCAGTCCTTGGATCTTCCTCTCCAAAAGCCTCAACATTCCCGATCTCGTTTGCTCACCAATCGTCGGCGATTGAAGCTTCCTCACCTTAGGGCTTTTCAAGTTTTAATTGGATTAATTGGGTTTTATTTGTTCAATTTTTGTGTTTGTTGATTGAAATACAATTGAGGAATGTTCGTTTGCAGTATTTTCTAGTCGTCGACACTCCCCAACATCGGTGGCAATTGCCAGCAATAAAAGAGAGATTTTTTCGTAAATCACTATTTTCCCACCTAAATAAGAGGGAAACATATTATTTGGGTAGTAAAAGAGTGTTTTAAAAGTCTAAGGGTGAGAAAGTGTCAATTGACCATTTTTGGGTTGGAACATGTCGTTAACTCACCATCTGCTCAGACTATTTATTACTATTTTTAATTGAGTTAACATATGTTACCACCCAAAAAATGGCCCATTGACATTTTCCCACCCTCAAACTTTTAAAACACCCTTTCACTACCCAAATATTAGGTTATCCTCTGATTTGGGTGGGAAACAAAGTGATTTACTTAAAAACCCCTCTCTTCTTTCTTCTCTTCTCAGCCTTTTCCATTGCTGACAAGTGTTGGCAACCAGAAAATCAACAAACAAACATTCCTCAATTGTATTTCAACCCAATAAACACAAAAATGGTATGGATCAAACCCAATTAAAACTCAAAAAACCCTAAGGTGGGGAAGCTTCAATCACCGGCTATTGGTGAGTAAACGGGATCTGGAATGTTGGGGCTTTTGGAGAGGAAGATTCAGGGAGTCAATTGGTGGTGGCAGGGATGATTTTCGAAACCAGAAGTGACCAGAAATCGGCTTGGAAGTTGAAAGGTCGTGCGGTTCACGACCAGTGATTGACAAGCAAAGGACGATGATGGAGGTAAGGTTTTGTAGAGTGGGTTGTGGGTAGTGTGATGGTGGTGTCTGGGTGAATTTCTGGCAAAGAAATTGACTGGAAATCTGACTTGAAGAGTTGGTCGTGCAAATGGAGGTGGTGGTGGGAAATGGTGAGTGATGACGATAAATGGAGGCTTGGGCTTTGTAGAGGAGGTGATGGGGATTCTCTGGGTGATGTCAGAAGTGATTTTGAATGCCAGGGTCAGGTGAAAAATGGTAAAAACCTGTCGAATTTGACGTTGCTAATGTGCACAATCTTCTGCTAACGTGCATCGTTCTTCTTCTCCAGTTGCCACTATTTGGTGACTATTCTGCCCTCATTAATTATGAGCTTTTGATCATTTTGCCCCTTTTGACAACAAAAATTACTAATAAAAATGTGTTTTGGATATTGAAATGGTATTTAAAATGTGAGTGGGTATGAGTTTGTCAATGGGCTATTTTTTTTGTGGGAACATGTTGTTAACTCATTTTTAATTACCTATTCATGATCCGGTAATAATTATAACTTGATCAAGACATATGATGATTTTAAAGGCCAAAACGTCCAGCCCACTCAAGGAGACCCAGTCTCATTAAAATATTCCATCCGAAGAAAAGTGATGACAAAGTACATAAATTGATGCGAAGAACAGTCGATATTTTGATTTTATGAGATTTCCATGGTCAACTACCCACGTAAATGCATCATAAGCAGAGCCAATGCTCGTTATTACGACGTAATTTGTAATGTTTGTTTCGCAAGACAAAAAGAAAGAAATGGCATGAACATGAAGGAAACCGCAAGAATATTGGTGAAAAGTCAATAATTGAGATATGTAAGAGCAATAGACATTCATATTACTTATAAGATCTTATATTGAGATTAGATATAATTTGGATCTAGTGACATCGGAATTTATGGAGGTAGGGTTATTAGTATTAGAATCTATTATGAGAAGGCCGATTATCTATTTTGGCGGAGGTGAACTGGACATGTGCATTACTATTCTATTTATTCTCGTTCTTCGAGTATATAGTTTATTTTCTCTGCACAATATTCATTTTAGACTGGTAAAACCTCCATGTGGTCAAATACACAGCAAACATTTGTTAATGATATATATATGAATATTAATTAATTTCATAGGTCTAATTCATTAGTTCAAATCCTCTTCTGAAATTTCTACGAAACACTAAAATATATTGATAATTAAGGATTAAGTAACGTGTAGCACTAAATACAAGGATGGAAATATAAGAAAATTGACTTCAATAATTCTATAATATATCCACTTGATTCCTAATCCACTAATTAAACGTGTTCGGGAATTAAAAAAATATTTTGGTTCGACCTGTTCTCCAGGACTATCATCAGAATATATATATATTTTTTTCAACAGGCGCTTCTCTCTATAAGCAATTCATCAACATCAGAATACCATCTTATTGCAAGATTTCATTGATTTACAGCCAAAAAGGAGATTCAGAGGGTACAACACAAGCCATGTCAAGCATAGGATCAACTGCTCGTATCAAGTGCTATACAGAAGGGCATATTCGGTCCTGCCAAGATTTTCGAACGTCTATCGTTCTCCATCCTGCTCATGTATCGGTCATCCCAAGGTACAAGAATAAATATGATTTCCAGAGAAAGCAGAGCTTGCGATCTTTCAGTTCTGTCAGGACTATGGTTGTCTACAGCAGTGTTCAACCAGGATCCTCGCCTCCTGATTCTTCTCCTGGTTCATGGTATGTAAAATCTACTATGCCATCAAATTAAATTTTGTGGTATGTTCTAGTTTGTTTTTCTTTTCGCTGATAGTTCAGTTTGATACTTATATATATATAGTTTGGGCAGGAAAATGTGGCTTCTAGGAATAGCAATATCAACGATTCTTCCCTTTTGGACAAACAAATGGGGGCCATTCAAAATATTCGAAAGTAAGCATTAAAAATCTAAATAATCTATAATTATGATCATCACATAGATAATGATTCTTTATCTTTTATGGTTAATGATTTGTATTTCTGGTTAATTATAATTTATTTTATAGAGCGATTAGAAGCAGTTGTGGAGACAGTAGAAGATGTTGCAGAGTTTGTAGAAAAGGTTGCTGAGGAAGTAGAGAAGGTAGCGGAGGATATTTCCGATGATATGCCTGCAGGAAAACTCAAGGATGTTGTTGATTGTATTGAAAAAGTGGCCGAAACAACAGCAAAGGATGCTCATCTAGTTGATGAATTCATCGATAAGGTTTTTACCAAATACCTTGTTTGTTTCCTTGTCTTTACTTTATGGATATATAATTAACGTTAATATTTTTTTTAAACATAAATTTCAGTTGGATCTGTTGACCGACGGTTCTGCTTGTTTCTTGATTATTGCCATGCATATGACTTATAGTTTTTGCTAATTCTTGATTATTTCCGTGGCTTTGACTTACAGTTTAGATCTCCATCGTTGTAATTTGTGAAGCACATGTTGTTAGGTGGTGCGTCCAATTGGTTTCGTCTCACATGTTAATTACTATTATATAAACGAATTGGTTAAAACTAAACTTACTTTGTTATTAAATAAACAAATAGGTTGTTTTTAATCACCAGATACAGAGCATCAAACTACAGACTTGCTCGTCTGTGGCATTTAACTATCTAGAGTGTTATTAACATTTGAGATGATATACAGTAATTAATATTAAAATTATGGATTTTTAAACGCAGGTGCAAGATGTAGAAAAACAGGTGGAAACAGCGATAGATGAGGCCATCGATGAAGCAGATGAAAAAACCAAAAAATGAAGTCAACTTTCAGACAACACCACCACTTCCAATGCTTTCTATTTCTTTTGCAATTAGTGGATGAAGCTTGCTGAACTGTTGTTTATAATTTTGATTTAAATTAATATTTTAATTTTTTTGGCTATTATTCTTCTGGATAGAATGCTGATAGTTGTTTATTAACATTGAATGTGATAATAACAATATTCTTATTTAATTTAAATTTTGATAGCAAAATCTTTGTCATTTATCTATTATAATCCATCACTATCAGAGAGAAGCTAAAAGGTAAAACTGTTGAATAGTAATGGATGTATAACTATTAATCAGTATAACAATTTAAATTGAAATTACTTAACAAAACTAGTATGATACTAAAAGTTAAATGAATTAACAATTATATTACATAAACTAAATAAAAAATAAATGAAACCCCTCTGTTTGAAGAACAATATTTTGAACTAATTATCACGGATAACTGAAGTGGGATGGGCCTGTTGGGCCAATTAGACCCAACATAAAGCCTAATGGACAACGGTCCATCTGAACCAACTAAAAATTACATATGTAAAAGGCGTTATAACGGCTAGCGTATAGGCATAGGCCGCATAGCCCCTCTGTTTTCTTTCAAATTGAATTCAAACAATACACAGAAAAAATTCACTTCCATTTGGAGTTATTGAACTGGACATGTGCATTACTAATCTATTTATTTCTGTTCTTCGAGTATATCGTTAATTTTCAGAGCAATATTCATGTTAGAATAATAAAAACATTTGTTAATGATATGAATTCTTATTAATTTCATAGCTCTAATTCACTACTTCAAATCCTATTCTGAAATTTCTGCCAACTATTAAATTACATGGATAAATCATTACGTAATAGCACTGAATACAATATATGAGAATATTAGACAATTGACTTGAGTAATTCTATAATACCCTCTGGATTCCTAACCCCCACAAATTAAAGGTGCCCAGGAACTAAAAAACATATTTGGCTTCCATGAGATTTGGCCGTTTGGACTTTGGCTAACGTAACCTTTGGTCTTATAAAAATATTTTAGTAACATTTTAGTCCCTGTCATTAGTCATTAATAATTCTCAGGGTCCAAAAGATTATTAAAAAATCATATAAGACTAAAATACTTGAGCCAAACATCAAGGATATTGTTATTTTTCCAAAATATTTTGGTTCGAGCAGTTCTACAAGGAGAGAAATACATGCTCACCCTTGTGGTTACCGTCAATTCTTTCTAGGTCCAACTGGTGCAAATACTGATAGACCCCCCGAATTTAACAATAGCTCCAACTGGTGCAAATACTAGATAGAGCCCCCGAATTTAACAATAGCTGAGGGCTCTATTAACCTATAGGATTAATTACATGTAAATACAATAATACCCTTTGATCATTTTTTTGAATAAAATAATAATTAGTTAAAATATGGTACAGTGGAATTCCACACTGCCATGGCCGCTTTGGTTCACTATTTTTACCATATCATATTCCACTATCTTATCAAATCCTATCTAAATACACATTTGTTTCAATATTCCAAATTCTCTTCAAAATACAATACTATTTTATTCAACTCAAAATATTTAGATTATTTTTAACCTCCTAGGTTTTTTAATTTAATTAAATACCCACAACAATAAAATTTTATAAATTAAAAACACCCCCACCTACCTACATTTGCCAGATTCCGGCCACCGATAGATTCCGACCACCTTCCAGTAGTGGTGGCCGAAATTTGGCAAATATGGGTGGGTGGGGGTCTTTTTATCATTTTATAAACTTTTATTGTTGGAAGTGTTTAGTTAAGTTAACAAACCTAGGGGGTTAAAATTAATCTAAATATTTTCAGAAAATGCTATTAAAAAATGTTCAAAAATACTACTCAACTTAACTTTTTTCAAACAATAATGCTACAGACACCGATGCTTTGCACTGAAATGTTAAATCAAACGACGTGTCACTTGAGTCAGACGAGCCATGTAGCACGTTAAGAAATATTTTGCTAATGAACGGCTGTCCAAAGTGGACTCTTGTAGTCTCGTTCGTGTGAAAATGACAATGGACTCTCGTCCATATTATATAGATGGGAGTCCATTTACTATAAATGGGAGTCCACCTATAACGATACCCATCTATAGTTTAAATTAAAAAAAAAAAAATTGATATAAAAAACTATGGACACCTGTCCATAATATATGGACGGGCTTCCCTACTTATCCATTGTTTAAATTAAAAAAACATTTAACAACAAAAGTAATAGACGCCCGTCCATATATTATGGACGGGTGTCCCTATTTAATGGACGAAAATTTGATAATAAAATCATGGACACCCATCTATATATTATGGACATGCGTCCCTATTACCAAAAAAGAAATATCTTCTCTTCAAACTCTTCTTCCTCATCCAACTCTTCATTGTCATCCATGATGTCAGTTTGGTTATTGTTTTTAGTAATCCAAACAACAACAACAACAACAAAAAAAAAAAAAAAAAAAAAAAAAAAAAAAAGGATGAGCTACCTAGATGAAGCCTCTGAAGCGAGTTAGGTTGGTCCAACCAAGAAAGTCAGGGAAGAAAGGTGAAGATGCACAAACGCGAAAGGAAGAAGGTTGTTCAATTGAGTTTGGAGTTGTTGCTGTCTGGTTCATAAACTTTTTGTAATATAATAATGGACGCCCATCCATATAATACGGACGAGCATCCATATAATATGGACAACCGTCCATAAGCAAATATATATATATTTTTTTATTTACATACTTTTTTTCTATTTGTAAAAACGATTAGCTTGTCTAATAGGCTTCTCCAAAATAAGCGCCAAATTTTTTACACGAAAAAAAAAAATAACTCCATTGTTAAACCCATTACCTTTTGCTTCATCATTCCCATGTTTCATCATTCCCATGTTTTCTTCTCGTCTGCATGTTCTAGTCTTCTACCAATTTCTTCCTCAATAGCCACAACCAGTTTCTTCCTCAACAGCCAACAAGCAGGTACCATGACAAGAAAGAAAGCCACCAATTTTTCATGAAACAATCGTTTAGGGTGGAAAGGGAGTTAGGGAGATCAAAATTTTTTGAGATTAGAAAGATTTGTTGAGGTACTTAAAAGAGTTTTTTTATTTAATTTAGCATTTATTTAGTTTTATATTCTATTTTGGATTAAATATATGTTACAATAGAAAATAACTGATAGATAATATTTGTTGGCGATTATTGTGAACCAGATCGTGAACGCGAAAACTAGTATTGGTTTTGCATGAAATTACGGAATATGGAAGAGTCCAGTTTGCCCCATTTCAATGATGTTGAGGTAAATTGTGTTCAAAACCTTAGCTTTTTCGTTAACATGATTTTAAATTTGTTGTATCGTATTGTTTCTTATGATGTGTTGTATTAGTACATTCTAATTTTGTCTATTATAAAACTATTAAATTATCAAGAAAATGAACGTAATGAATTAGAAGATATGGGATGTGCAGAGGAAGAAGTGGAGCCTCATATTGGAATGGTGTTTGATTCAGTTGATAGTCTGGTGAAGTATTTACAAACGAGTATTGTAACAAAATGGGTTTTGAAGCAACGATACATATGTCAAAGAAAGGCGATGATGGGGAGATGAGATATGCGACAATGGCGTGTTCTTGTTCTAGGAATGAGAGATGTAAATCCAGAAATACCTTGAAAAAGCAACATGTTGCTAAAACATATTGTAAGAGTCGGATTTGTGCAACTTTGAATGGTGAATGCAAATGGGAAATTAAATCAATTGTACTTGAACATAACCATGATCTTACAAGTCCGCCAAAAAGAAGATATTTCAAGGTTAACCGAACGATACAACTTTATGTGAAAATGAGGCTTGAAGTTAATGATGTGGTTGGGATTAGACCGTGTAAAAATTTTCAGTCATGTTCAGTTGAGGCAGGAGGTGTAGAGAATTTGATGTTTCTACAAAAAGATTGTAGAAACTACATTGAAAAAGTGAGAAGGCTGTGACTTGGAGTTGGAGATGCTTGGGCAGTACTAGGGTATTTTATGAAAATTCAAAAGGAGAATTCAAATTGCTGGTATATGATTGATTTAGATTAAGACAATCGATTACAGAATGTGCTATTAGTTGATGCTAGAAGTAGGGCAGCATATAAAGAATTCAGTGATGTTATGACCTTCGACACAATGTATTTGACGAACAAGTATGATATGTCATTTACTACTTTTGTGGGGGTTGATCATCATAGACATTTGACATTGCTAGGTTGTGGGTTAATTTTCCATGAGGACACTGAGACATTTGTATAGCTATTTTGTTCTTGACTTGAATGCATGGATTTTGCTCCTAATGGAATTATCACTGATCAAGATAAGGCCATGCAAAATGCAATTGAGATTGTTTTTCCCGGTACAGGACATAAGTGGTGCTTGTGGAATATAATAAAAAAATTGCTTGAAAAATTAAGAGGGTATAAGGAATATGAAACTATAAAGTTTAAGTCAAATTATTGTGTATGATTCCTTTACACGTGAAGAGTTTGAAGAATGGTGGAACCAATTTCTTGATGTGCACAATCTTCACGAGAATGAATGGTTATGTGGATTGTACAAAGAAAGAGTACGGTGAGTGCCTGCATTTCTTAAAAATACTTTCTAACCAGGTATGTCTACAACCCAACGTAGTAAAAGTATGCATGTATTTTTTTATGGATATGTAAATTCCAAAACTACATTGAAACAATTTGTGGAACAATATAATAATGTATTGCAAGATAAAGTGGAAAAAAATTGGAGGCTGATTTTAGATCTTTTAAATCTTGGATACCATGCATAACTAATTATCCCATTGAGAAACAATTTCAAAGTGCATACACAACTGCAAAGTTTAAAGAGTTTGAAGAAGAGATTGCACGGAAGATTTATTATGAATTATCTTTTCTGAAAAAGTGTGATTCATACAAGGAGTATCAAGTTTTAGGAGATATTCGGTTTGGAGATAGTAATCGGCGTGTTCCCCTTGCGGTATACTTTGAAGAAGGTTTGTATGATATTCGTTGTACTTGTCACTTGTTTAAGTTCAAAGTTGATTTTATACAGACATGCCATTATTGTGTTGATTCATAAAAAGGTTTCACACGTTTCAAAAAAGTACATTTTACGACGTTGGAGAAAAAATATAAACATATGCCATACAAAAATTAACG